TCTCTGTGCAAGACCGGCCGAAAAAAGCTGCCGGAATAGTGCTCACGCGCTGGCAGAAGGTGGCGCGTGAAGCCCACGCGCAGAGAAGACTGGAGGCGCGTGACAACTTCGATGGTGGGCTGAACTTCCACAGAGCAGGTCGCCGAGAGGAGAGGGTTCTGTTCGCGTTCGTTCCAGACTGAAAACTCGCCGGAAAAGTACTCCGGCAGCCTGAACAGTGGCTGACGGTGGCTGATGGTGGCTCCGATGACTGTTTGGGGATGTGGACATGTGCAGAAGATGCCTGGAGAGGACTTACAGCCCTTGATGTCTTGTCGGAAGGACGCACGGCAAAGAAAAGATGACTCCTAAGCAGTGGGCTTAGGTTTTAAAGCGAAGAACAAGATTTCTAAGCGGAAGCGAGGGTTCCCAGAACGAAATAGCTCTGGTACCAAGTTAAATGTAAAAGAATACGTTGTGTATTGATCTGTGTCAGGGAGTTACAATATATAGAGACCCTAATGGGCTTAAGTGTAAGGTCCAAACCTAATCCTAATACAGTCAGAATACAGTCAGACTATTTACGGATAAGACAGAACCCAATCATATCTAATCATATCTAATCATATCATATCTAATATTCTAACAGGGACAATAGGGATTGAACTGCCAACCTTATCTCGCGCTAAATTTTAGCTTTTATTTAGAAGAATGGGGACAATAAGGATTGAACTCAAGATCATATTGTCATTAAAGCTTTGATACCATCCTTTGATTCTTCTATCTCTACTTCCAAAGAGTATGGAAGTTTTCCGAAGTCTTTGGTCTGAAAACAATGACCAAGATATTGTTTTATCTATCTGAATGATTCCATGGTAATCTGATAGAGATCAACAATATAGTTCCAGAAACAACTCAAGAACAGTATATTGATATTAATCCAACAATACAAGTTCAGTGAAGCTATTACAATAACAGAGACAACATAATGCTTGGAAAATTACAATAACAGTAAGGAAGAGACAATTACAGAAAAGAGACAATAACTGTAAAGGACCTAGAGCAATTCGAGAGGCTCTAGTCTCTCCCAAATCACCCAAGAGGTGCCCAAAAGTCCTAAGTCCAAAGATGCCTTCAAAATAGTCTTTTCTCCTCTATATATCGCAGCCTTCGTGTGATGCTAAAAATGTGACCCCAACCAACTTATTCCCTGCCTTGGTAACTGATACGATCCTAGTCAGCAAACATACACAGCTACTGCCACGTTAGCTAGGAGTTTCCCAAATTACCCTGTAACAGAATAGAGAGCGTAGAGGTGACTTGGAGTTAGTTATAAGCAGAGGGAAAGGAGCATGGGAAGGCATTCTGGAATCTGAGTATTGACTGGGCCCTTTTGGGATTGGGAGAGAGTGAGACCTCTAGAATTGTCTCACATTATTGCTTTTCCTTTATTGTTAAGCATTTTCTAGTTCATGTAATCGTCCTTTTCTTGTTAAATTATCTCGGTTAATTGTGAGTCCCTGTAATTGTCATTTGATTTCTGTCAATATATGAAAAAAATCTGATTATTTAGGCCAAAAACACTTGGTTCTCTGTTATTGATTTATATTTGGGTTGAAGGTTCGTAACAAAATGGTATCAGAGATCCGATCTAGGTGCTCTGTGGGCATAGTAGCGACAAGAAGCATGGAAACCAGAATGAAGGTTGTGGAAGAAGGGCTGCACAAGAACAATGATTGTCAGGACGAGGTGATTCGAAGGCTTGACGCTAACGAAAGGGGAATAGCAGAAATCATCCGGTGATTGGACAAAATGGCCAAGAGGAGACAGATTCGTTCTAGAGATGGAGAGAACAACCTCGAGGACGACGAACCAGACCCATGCGAGAAAAGAAATTGAAGAAGGGATAAGAGGCTTAACTCGAATGCTTGGGTGACAAGACGAATCCAACCGGAGCTGTTGGACAACCCTTACCGGACATTTTACACACTCAAACAGAGAGGGAGCATTGCGGAGTTTCGTGCTGAGTTTGAGAAGAGGGTGGGAGACTTGTTGTTAGAAGACGAAGACTTACTCATGGAAGCATGGTTGAACGGCGTACGCAACAGTATCAGGGAAGAGCTGTTGAGGTTTTCGACCTTCAGCTTGACGGAGATGAAGAAACTCTCCTTGAAGATTGAAAGACGGAACGCAGCGTGGAAGGGTGAAGGTTCTGAACCGGTTGGGAGAAACATTGCCTGGGTGGAAGAAGGGATTGGGCCAGTTGGGCGAGCATGGACACAGGGAGGCCAGCGAGCAACTTTGGGCCTATGAACCGGATCAGGCCCATCTGAGATTAAAAAAAGAGCCTCAGCTAATGTGAGCCAAACTCACTCAAATAACCCAAGTCAAGCCAACCTATTTGTGATGCAAACCAACAGCGTCACTTACCCTAATGCCCAAAATGCTTAGACGGACGACACGAGGGGTGGACCAACGATAAGGGTTTCGACAACTGCCACCGGAACTCGTACGCAGGAGAGCCACGTAGGCCGTGGACGATGGCTGTCTCAGGTTGTAATCCGTGAGCAACAACATCGCGACGTCATATGCAACCAGCGTTGGAACCCCAACCACATAGGTCAAGTCCGTCAGCTCCATCTGCAACTGGTGGACGACGTTGAGGAAGAGGGTGAGAGGAAAGCAGACGGAGCAGCAGTGGCAGCTATACCAATCGTTGGCTTATCAGAAGTTGGCCCAAATCCTCGCCGGAGGAGTTTGTCAATAACCAAGTCAGTTTCGCTTATATTTCTGAGTGTATCTCCTCCTGTCACTCTACGACGATGGACATAAGTATCAAGGAACCAATTAGCTTGGTTTCGAATCGCCTGGGATCATGGCTGATAATCAGAAATGAGAACGACAGAGTGTGGAGACCTTAGGGCTATCTTGAAGCATGGCGTGAGTTAGACAATTTTGAGGTAATCAATGTAGTTAAGTGGTTTCGCGTAGTCAATGAAAATAAACAGAATATTTTATTTGTTGAAGATTCTGATTTTTTTGAACTGGATGGAACACAAGAACACCCTTTGCCTAGCTATTGGAACCTGTGGAAAGGTATATTTGGAACAGAGCATTTTTCCACTGTTATTAATGCTTTTCGTCAACGTGATAAGGCTGTTGTGTCTGCTAATGAAAATCTGATAGTCAGAGCTCATGTTTCTTGCTCTGTGAAAACAAAGGCAGAGACACCCAGCTACAAATTTGTAATTAAGGGTTCAAGGGCAGTAACAAAATGGGATCCTGGTGGGAGTTATCATGCTTCAAGCATATATGGGTCCCAACAATTCAAGCAATGGGATCCCGGTGGAAGGTGCTTGGGGTTAAACATCACCTTGAGGACAAGGTTATTGTTAGGGGGGGGGGGAGTATTGATACGATCTTAGTTAGCAAACATACACAATTACTGCCACGTCAGCTAGGAGTTTCCAAAATTACCGCGTAACAGAATGGAGAACGTGGAGGTGACTTGGAGTTAGTTATAAGCAGAGGGAAAGGAGCATGGGAAGGCATTCTAGAATTTGAGTATTGACTGTTGTGATTGGGAGAGAGTGAGACCTCTAGAATTGTCTCACATTATTGCTTTTCCTTTACTGTGAAACATTTTCTAGTTCATGTAATCATCCTTTTCTTGTTAAATTGTCTCGATTAATTGTCATAGTCCCTGTAATTGTCATTTGATTTCCATCAATACATGAAAAAATCTGATTATTCAGGCAAAAAACACTTGGTTCTCTGTTATTGATTTATATTTGGATTGAAGGTTCGTAAGAGTTGGCAACAATCCCATGTGCCTCTTCCTCTCGTACACCTTCCCAAGCTTTCTACTTGGCAGAACCGTATCATAATCATTACCAATGATAGTAATGTTGTGGCATACGCAATTAAAAATTACATCTTTGAGCTGAATGGCGGTAAAAGATAAGAGTAGTCTGCTTCCCTTAATGTCATACTGAAGTGCTGAACTAGGTGCTAAACTGGCCAAGCCAAGTCTGAGGAGATTGCTTAGGGTCATACAATAATTTGTCGTGATGACAGACTATGCCTGGAAAACAACAAATCCTAGAGGTTGCTCTTTATAAACTTCTTCTGTAAAATCACCATGTAGGAAAAATATTCTTGTTATCCAATTGATGAAGAGGCAGGTGGCAAAAAGCAGCCATAAACATAAATAGGCAAACAGAAGTCATTTTCACCACTGTTGATAAGGTGTCATCAACCAAAAATCTGGGTATATCCTATAGCCACCACCAAACGAGCCTTCAGGTGATCAATCTTACCATTAGGGCCAATCTCGCCCATAAAATCTACCAACAGCCAGCAATAGACTCTGATCGCATGTCATAAATCAATTAACCCAAAAGCTTTAAGTTGATAGGGTACATAAATGGTTTTGCAAGCTGATTGGCCCATACTGAAGTATTAGCATGTTGAAGGCTTTTGAAAATATTGATAATTAGATAACAGAAAAGCAACACAATTTAAGCATGTATATATTTTAACAAGCTGAAAATTCCTTAAATCTATTTGTCAATTTGTGTCTTGTGAACATAAGATGATGGGTGGGATGAATGTTAGCTCTAAATAATCCAATGTTGTATTTTTGGTGAATGTGAGTCAGGCTATCAGAGGCCATACAGACTAGGTTGGGATTAGTTTTAAGGAAAAGGGTTTAAAGATTATTAAATTGACGCTTAATTAGTAATAGTAAAATGGGATGGCTTGGGAAAAATAGAGGTCATACAAAGAGTAAATGAGGCAGTATAATCATTTTGAGTAATTGAGATTTGAATGTTTGAATGTAGCCTTTTCCACCTATCTTCACAAAACTGAAGCTCAGATTTTTTTCCATTGTTTTTCGTCATGCAAATCGATAGTATCCTTATATATGCTTTGTGTGTGTATGAGTGTGTGTTTGCTGGGGAAACTGATAGCACTTTATAGTTTTTCATATTGACCATTTATGTTTTGAAATGTTTCAGCTGTTACAATATTTCACAAAGAGTGACCCTTGGGTGGAACGTTCTTCACCTTGCAATTCTGTCAGATTAGATTCCAGTGTTAAAAAGCCAAGTGCACTTTCAACTGAGGAACTTGAGGAAGAACTTTTTAGACTATTCCTGGAAGTTCGTTTCCAACCAAGGTGTGCATGTGAATATATATTTAGAATTGGGTATTAACATCTTGCTTTCCTGAAGTGAAAGTTTTCACAGACATAATGTAGCCTGAAAACCTTTTAATGCATTCTAGTTTGCTGATGCTGAGCTTTGGTCACTTAAGTTGTATAACAAATTCCTTCTCGATTGTTTTTTTTCATAATTTTAGTAGTGATCTGTGGCATAGATATTTGACCTTTTCAAATGCCATTTTATTGTGGTATTTTTACTATATATACTTAATCCCTAGAGGAAAAAAAGAACTGTGACAGGATATCAAGTTGGAGTAAAGAACTTTTCCAGTTTTAATTCTATGATCCATGCATAAAAATATTCTCTTTTTTTCCAGTAATGCAATAGGCGTGGCAGCTGATAGCTGGATGGCACTCATGGATCGTTTTTTGACCTTAAGAAATGGCTGCACTAGAGAACAGGAGAAGGAACGTTTGAAGGAAAATATACTTCAATTGATTGATATATACTATGAGGCATTAGATGCTCCTAAGAAAGGTGGAAGAAAGGTTAGTATTGTATTATTGTTTGGTTACTACATAATCTGCCTCTTTAGTTGGACTTAAAAACCTTTTGAACTACTAATTCATTTTACAAAAAGCAGTTGGGCTAATGTCCCCATATTACAAGGCATGTTTTGTAATGATATCTATATGTAGCTAGCCATTTTACTGTTTTTATGCTCAAGTTGTTGCAATACACAAAGGTTCCTGTGCCCTAGGAGGAAATGTGTGGACTTGTGCTAGGTTGACCTTCGGAGGTTCTCAAATTATGTGTCAAGAATTTTTACTGATGTTAGCACTTTAGGATATAGATAATGTCAGCTATTGACAAAAAAAATGATTGAAAAGTTGAAATATTCATAAACTTATCATAGAAAATCTTTTGATCTAAGGTTAATTTTCTTAAGTCATGACATATCGTGGATCTTTGACTGCAGGCAATGCTATGATTAGTTGAGTACATTTACAATTACCATGATGACCTTTCTTCACATTGAGTAAATCTTAGGAGTCCATAATTTTGGGTACCACTCTGCTTATTCAGTATGTTGTCCAAAATTACAGATGGTGGTTGCTCTCTGCTTATCAGTAATCTGTTAACAATTCTTACACATTTGATGACAATCAATTCTCTGTTACCCTAACTAATGATTTTTGAGATGATGTGTGTTTACATTCTTAAATCCATTATTAGTGCTGTTTGGTTTTCCATCATTTAAATTTTAATTTTGGGATTGAAAAAAGATTTTGATAGTTATGGATGATTGTTAGTCCACATGAATTCAGTTTTATTTTATCTTTGTAATTTTTCACAAACTTTGGTCTTCAAGAATAGTTTTCTATCGAGTTTTCTAATTTGAACCTTGTGGTAATTCTTTAACAACAGATCCAAGTTCCAAATGATTTGGCTGCAGAAATGTTCCCGCACTATATGGAAAGGGACAGATCATTCACTTCAACCTCTATCCTAGGTTTAATATATGATGAGGTTAGCAGATGGCAAACTGAAGATGTGTCAGTGAAAGGTGAGAACTCAAAATTAAGTCAGTTTATTTTTTTGTTCTATACTTCATAGCTTGATGCCATATTTCTCCATGACATCCATGTTGATTATCAACCCCGCCATCAGCTGATTCAGCTTCATGTATTTTTACTATTTTATTCTTGTCCATGCTATCAGAAATTAGAAAAATCCCCTGTTTTAATGTTGAAATACCTGCAAGCTGCATGGAAAAGTGGGAAGCATTATATAGAGAGTACAAGAAGGATATGACTAATGCTTTAAACAACAATTCTAACGCCAAAGATGATGCGGCCGCTGAAGTCATTAAGACTTATAGGCAGGTAAACGTCTTCAGTTTTTCTTTCTTTGTCCAGGCTCTAGTTTCATACATACATTCCCTAAAAGTTCCAATATTCTGAGGTGCTGATGGGAATCACTCTTGTAGAAATTGTATGGTGCTGCTAAGATGGAGGATAGTCCAAAGAAAATAAGTGATATTTATAATGAGGCTTTGGCTATATATCACGTTACTTACGACTACGCCATTCAAAAGAATTCAGTCAGTAAATGTGGCTTTGCATGGAAGGTTGCAGGGTCAGCTCTCACGAGTCTTTATACCATTAAACAAAGTCAAAAGGCTGCGTTCTTTGATTCCTCTGTTTTGCGTGAGATTTTTGGTTCATGACCTCAGTTATTAACTCTCTGGCTGTGTATATAATAATGACTAATGTAACAGTCATATCTATAAACTGTATCATAGACTTTGTCAATATTTTTGGTTCATAAAATCTTTTTAGTGTATCAAAGCCATTTCTTTCATATGTTGCTGTTGCATGATAGGATATGTAAAGAGTCAATTCAACCCAACAGCTTAAGCTTTTGGGTGAATTGGTTCTTTACATGGTATCAGCTTCAGTGACTACAAGATCACTAGTTCGATCCTCGTCGCCCTCCATTTTCAATGGAATTAAAAAGGTAAATTAAAAATTGGCTAGCAATTTCACAGCAAGATGTAAGGGATAGTACCGACAAATTTATGGCTTTCTGTGAGTGACCGAATAAATTTTTGAAGCACCAAAAAAGGAAAAGGTTTTCAACCATACAAGAAAAAAAAAAAAAAAACGAGAAAATGTAGGCTACAATTAAGATTGAATTAATAAATCTAAGACCTGTAAGGTGTTAACAGTTGAAAAAGATCATTGGATATTTGTCAGGTAGTATATTGTTATCATTTGAAGACATTGCTGTTGGGTGGGTTTTACGGTGGTTCACCGTAAAACATTGACAGTTAAATAATCACGTGAACGTTAAATTCAAGTCTGACAGTTAAGATTTAAAATGTAAATTATATGTAATAATTTCATCATGTCTCTTTCATTTGAGTGGAGAAAGGTTATCATTGTTATCTTGACAATTAAATAGGCCTGAACAATAATGGCAATGGAAGGCTTTCCCAAAGAACAAAAAGCAAAAGCCAGTAGATTTAATCTAGTGGTGAGAGGGGGTGAGTAGTGGGTAGTAGGTGTTGTGTTTGATTCCCAATGTATTCAAAAAAGAACAAAAAGCACAAGGAACCTAAAATTTCTTTTAGCTTGTGGTCAGGATCAATTTTTCTTTGTTGTTTTTATGGTTCATGTTTTTAGGACTTGGTTGAAATCCAAGGCTGAACCTGTTTGGTTCGTTTTGTATGGCAGGTCCAGTAATACCTTGTTTGACCCGATTTTATTAGTCGAGCTACAATTAGATTCTGTTTAATGGATGCCCTTTTTTTGGGTTATGTTGATGTTGCATTATTTTCATTTGCTTACTGAATGCATATTATGATGTGATGTGGCATTTATTCTAATATCAGACAATTCAGACCAAACTGTTTATCAATTTATTTAGTTGTGGTATTTATTGATCGGAATCTGGCAGGAATGTAATGTTTACGTGTTCTACTAATACATGCATTCATTCATAGTTGAGCTGGTCTCCAATAGTTGTCAAAGTCTCGAGTTGGAGAGCATTTTTACTACAATCGCTGCACTAACTATTCAATGCAACGGTCTATTATAACTATGTATTATATTTAATCTAAATTGTCTTTACAAACAAAATTCGGAGGTAGCACCCCACCACTAAATGTGCGGACATAAAAATATTTTCTTGGATCCGCCATTTATTCGAATCATGTCATCTTGTAAGACAAAATGTCCATCAATGACACCAAAATGATTTCTTCTATAAAATAATACCTTCACCTAATACCTATCCTCACCGTTCAATCATCAATGTGCATGTTCGTATTCTTATGTATGAATGAGTGGATAGAGGAGTTAAGTGCAAAACATTGGCTCATTTTTTATGAAGAGCTTGAGATAGCACTTTGTTGAACCTGCTATTAATGACAAAACCATGTCCTAAATAAAACACTACAAATAAAAGTAAATAAAACAATAGCTTACATTGCAAATCGTATTAGAAATTGAATGGACTAAAAGCAAGGGAACGAAGCAATAGTAATTTCATCCTTCTATCATTCACCAAATTTAGAATTGAACAAAAAATAATACACCTCGTGGCTAATTTCATATATGTTTTTCTTCTATGTTTAACAACAAGCACTAACCAAACAGCAAACTCCCCCTACCCCCACAACCCCAAAATAATAAAAAATTCTAATTTGCCATTTAAACTAAATCTATATATAACATGGCTAATGTATTGACACTGTTATTCCTAATAAAATATGCAGTTCAAAATGCTTAAAGTAATTGATAAGGTTAAAACACAAAAATCTCCAAATGATTGACAACTCAAGTTGGCTGTTTCTTGTAAATTTTCAAATCAGCATGAGTATCATTATAGCGCTGGCTCAGGTAGTCCCGGCATAAGATAGGAGGAAATCTGGGAAAAAGAGAAAATGCAGAGATGTAAGACAATTTAAGGATCATTACATAAAGCACATCTTCATTTTTCACTCTCCCTAATGTAACTGCCTCCTACTTTCTGACCGTGATATTAACTTTGTAACATACGATATGTAAATAACCAATTCAACTCAAAAGCTTAAGCTACTGGGTGAAGTTACATTAATGGTTTTTCTATATCTTTTAACACAATATGCTATCAAATTTATAGATGGAGAATTTAACTCACTTGGGTGGATTACTATCTGATTTGCAAGTTGGCAAGCACTCCACTAGACAATCATGACTAGGCTCCAAAAAGTATGCAATCTGTTAAAAGAAAACAACAACACTGGGATAAGCAAATGACATGATTTAGCCAAGCTTTCTGTATGTTAAAACTGATAAAAAAGATTCATAATCAAGGAATGGGTAAAATATTGTACAGATTAAATTTTTGGAAAAGAATAACATGGAGAAGATTCACAATTTGTCACTTATTAAGAACCAATTCAACCCACTGTTGGGTGAGGTTACATTAATGGTTTTTAATATATCTCTAACACGCACCCTCACAAGAAAGTCCATTGGACTTGAAAGGTGGATGATGCATCAGGTCCAGCCTACTTGTGCTAAGAAATTCCACAAAGAAAATGGAAGGCGGCGAGGATCGAACCTGGTACACTGAGACTATGATACCATGTAAAGAACCAATTCAACCCAAAAGCTTAAGTTGTTGGATGAAGTTACATTAATGGTTTTTAATATAACTCTAACACTATCTATGTAAACAAAAGAGAATATCAACTATGTAACCAAGATGTATTGGCTCAGCAAAAGGGAATATCAACTACTCACCAAGGTGTTCGCCCGGTATTAATTAATATTTATTAGCTTAATGATTAGACTGATATTAATTAATCATGATTAGGATCAATTAGTAATAGCATTTATTTTATCTTTATAGTATTTCAAATCCTTGTTATAAAGGTCACAATGAATGATTGGAAAAGGAAGCAATTATCTGCTTCAATTCCTTTTTTTCCAATCATTCTCTCATTTATTCCTCTCTCTCTCTCTCTCCCTCTCCCATCTCCTCTGTTATTTCTCTCAGCAAATTCTGTCCATTCTAGAATTTCTCTAAACAACTGGTGCTTTCATCAACTCCTACCTCCACCATGTTAGAATCCCGTTTACAAGAGCACTATACCTTTTACAAGAGAAGAGAATGATTGAAAGAAAGTAATTGAAGAAGATAATTGCTTCCTTTCCATACAGCCACTATACCTTTATAACAAGGAATTGGAATACTAAAAAGGTAAAGCCAATATATGCTAATGCTAATTGATACTAATCCGGACAAATTGATACCAATCTAAACCTTTCATTAATTGATGCTAATAAATGCTAATTGATGCTGCAGAAAGACCTTGGTACATGGCATATAACCTATATTTGTCGTTATCATTGTGAATTCCAATGCTAGCAGAAGATAGTAGAGAACTACATGCTAAAGCATGAAATGTTGACTTATTAGGAGATAAATACATGGGTCCGTCGCTTCTCATGTGACTGCTAATGAGAAAAGTTGCAGCAAATTTTAACACTAGGATACACGTGCGGATCCTAGGATACACGTGCGGATTCTATCAAAAAAAAAACAAGGATTCGGACGCGTATCCTGTGTTGCTGCACTTTTTCTCTTCTGCAGTCACATAAGAAGTACTTTCCCCTAAATACATATAATCTGCAATTTGAAAATTCAAACACACACAACCAGCAGGGTCTTGTGAGAGGCAGAATAAATTTAGATTAACAATGCAATACTGGCTTTGCAATGAAATTAAAAATCAAAATCCACAGAAGAAAATGTTGAACCAGAAAAAAAAAACTGAGGCTTACAGAATATCTCTCTTGACCATTTCCTAGAACTCTGTGCAGTGTGGACCTGAGCATATATGCAAAGCAAATTGTTGATTTATACAATGAATAAAATTTAAATGAACAAGGATGAACTGTAAAGATACACCAAAGGTCTAATCACATATTTTACTTGGCTTAGGTTTTAAATATCAATATATAAGAATGTTTTCTTTCTGGAAACTAATGATTGAATACCACACAATATTTAAAGTTTCATAAGAGCACGTAAAAATACTTAAGAGTATATACACATGCAATTTCAGCTTACAATTTTCATTCAAGCAGCCAAAGAAAACATATACTGCATAAATGCCCTAAATTATTACGAGTCCTATAAATACACAAGTGATGGACCATATGCACATGCAATTACTATTTACTCATTAAGAGCTAAATCTATCATCAAGGAAACTCTCATGGCAATAAGTGTAGTCACAGACAATGATGAGGAAATATTATGTTAAAGACCTATTTCTTTTGCGGAAAAATAATAATAACTGTTAGATATATAGGGATGTTTTCGTTAGCCGTATTGTTTTAGTTCTATATCTTTAGCTTTTATGTGTTATTAATTTACAAGCTTTTTTTACTTAAATTAATTTCAGAGCAGTGTCTGAACAAGACACAAACTCCACTCTTCATCCTTGAATTTATCTCTTTCTGTTAATAATTAACAATAATAGCAAGCCAACTTGGGCCACAATTAACTGAAGAAGGTGAAAATAGTTTGCAGACAACAATTAGAAATAGAAAAAAAATACTTATAGCACAACAATGCAGGACACCCACTAGTAGCTTGACCATCACACAAATCAATCTTTCATAAAATACAAGCACATACAAAAGCTGTCAATCAGTCATATACATTCCTCTAAGGTCAAGAATTATGCCTGCCTTCAATCGAGCTCAGAAATACTCAAAAGTAGGAAAGATTTCTTACTTGAAAATACAGTTGCTCCACCGCTCCAGCATGTCACCAAGATTCACTACAAATGCTCTGCAACATAAACAATCAGTTAAATTATGTAAACAGTTCAGTATAAGGGCTTGATAAATGTTTAGTACATGATATGATTCAGCTCAAAAAGAATAGAAATTTTACAAATATATTAGCTTAGGCAGATAATTGTAATTTTACTTTGGTTGAATTGTTTTGTGGTGTACTGTGATGCTGTCAAATGAAAGGTAAGACTTCTTACACAATCCCATCATATACATATAGATTGATATGAATGAAAATCGGAAAGCCTGGCTACAGCATTAGGATAAACAAATCCAGAAGAAATAGTCTTGAAAGAAAAAGGGCATGTCTGAAATTTTTTAGAAATTATCTCCTGAATTAAGAGGTCAGGATGAACAACAAAGAAGAATTTCAATTACTGCATAACACCATAACCGTCTTTTTTTAACCTATTAAACCTAAAGTGACAAAGGAACTAACCCTTTCAATGGTGCCACATCTTCCCATATCTGAGGTTTAGCATCCCTATCCTTGCATATCTGCAATACAAGACATTCATCAATACAAGACATTAATGTTCTTAATTAATTACGCAATATTCGTAACATTGAAAGAAATCTCAATATCAATTGCCTTCTTACTTGAAGACCTGAGACATCATCTGTTGCCAACAGAGTAATTAAACCATAATCAGTATGAGCTCCAGCTCCATATAATCCTTTTAAGGGATCTGAGACTTGACCTTCATGGAACAAGGAGGAATACAACTGTATAAGTTATTTCTCTTTGTAATTGTACCAGTTACAAAACACCAAGAAAACCGATTCAATACCTTCGTAGTGCAGCAATCGTAGAGTTGCAATGGGCTCTCCCAGCATTTCTGGTTGATCAAAAAAATTAGCATCCAAATCAAGTGCTAGGGCAATCATCTTTGCAACTGCTTTCCCTACTTCTCTGGATTCCCCAGTAAAACAAACCGGACCAAAAAAAAAAAAATATGACAAATATGAGAAGCCCTTTTCCTTTAAGCTGATAAATACTAAACATAATACAGAAATTGAGTCCAAATAAACAAACAAGGCAGTTAAATATGATCAATTATCTTTTACTTACAAAGAGAGCAATAACATTCACAAGAAAATAAAGAAAAATAAGGCTTCAATCTACTCCCAGCATGGCAAGAAATAACAAGGGAACAAGCCAGTGGATAAGGACTCAGGGCAAAAAATGTTTGTTTAAAACCAAAAAATATGCTCAATATAAAAGATTCAGGTAAAATGATCAAAAGGGCTAGTAGTAAGGTTGCATGTTATTACAGATAAATAAAATCACTGAAACGTACAATGCCTCTTGATGGTATTTCTCCATAGTCTCCCTCCAACCAGGCAGAATATCTACATGGCAACAAAGTTCATGAAAAGGTTAAAAAAAGAAGAGTAAACACCATTTTTAGTGGGTCCTGAGAATATCCATGAAATCTTTTTTAGTCCCTGGCAATAAAAAAAGATCAAATTGGTCCCTAAAATTATGAAAAAAGAACTAAAAAGGTCCCTGAGATGGATGCTGATTTGTCAACCAGCGTGACCTTGATATTGCCGGGGACCATTTTATTTTATTGCCAGTGACTAAAAAGGGTGTTTACTCAAAAAAGAAAAGAAAAACAACAAAAGAAAATTCAAGGAAAGGGATGAATTATTTGGTAAAAATTATATTTTTCATCTACAAAAGTCTCAAAAGGCCAAAATTTTGACTCATTTACCTGGAGCAGGCCATTTATTTGGCCCATAAAAAGGTTTATGCGATTCTGGGTCATCCTCAGCTACTTCAACTCCAATATAATATCCTTCTTTGTAATCTCCTACTTAACCCAGCAGGGAAAAGGATATCAAGGCTCAGAAAAAGATGAAGAAAAAAAAAAAAACATGGCAGAAACTATATAAACATGCAATTAAGGTACATACCATGTACTTGGTTTTCAGGATCAAGTAGTTCATCAAGAACAGGTGTATATCCCCTATGCTTTTCATTCCTGAGAACCTTCATCTTTTCCTTGTGAGGAAGGGTGAAAAATTTCTTGCTTTGTGCAAAAACCTCGTCCATGAATTCCTGGCTTATTCCATGATTGACAACATAGAAAAAACCAGAATCCAAGCATGCCTTTTGTTTTGTTTACAACCCCAATAAACAAAAAATAACAAAATAATGATCAATCACATAGAAAAAAAAAAAGTTTACAATTCAAAGAAAGTGAATTGACCCAAGTTGTGTAAAAACCAACCTGTTTGAGCAAATTCACGGATTGGTTGATGTCAGGATTGGAAAGGTCGATGCAGTTTAGAACAGAGAATTTTGTTGCATCATAGGATTGTGTGTTCTGTTTTCCCATGTTGGAAGAACAATGAACGAAAACCTCAGGTTTCTGAACAAGTTATGGCACTTTTTCTATAACAAAGAGAAAAAAGTGAATGGTTTTTTCTTATACATATATTGAGTCAAGACCACAGGTCCACAACGTGGTCATCATCCATAGCAGCCATAATAGTTTTTGTTTTTCATTTTTTTTCCCCTTATTTAGGAATAGACATCTCTTGGTTACAATTTTTTTTTGTAGTTTTTCTGTTTTGATTTTTTTTACTCGTTAAATTTATATGCATTTGGTATTTGAGCTAACTTATTCATAACTGGGTTAATATTTTTTATTTTGGTTTTATTTAGATTTGATAATTTTATTTTTGATTTACATCATCATTTTTGTTTGATTAGTGTCTAAGCAATGTGTTGATTAGTGTCGGTTTGAAATGGAAATCAAATAATAAAAGGATATCAATACGAAGAAAATCTATCTTCTACTACTAATATGAAAGTAAATATGATAATAAAAGGAAAATATATATATAATTTTATCGCTCTACTAAAAATGTACGTAAAAGTAAGAAAATTAAAATGAATGTAAGAATTTTAGTGCGTGACTAAGTGAATATATCATTTTCATTATATAATATTGAAAGTACAAACGTCATTGATTGAAATTTTGTGACACGTTTATCTCATTGCCAGATGTCAATTAGGAGGCAATAGTTGTACTTTTGAGTTTTGGCCAACTTAATTTTCTAAATTCAACGACCACAACTTTGTGCGTGGAAATTCTCTAGTTGATGTTAAAATTGAGATTTTAACTAAAATTAAAAGGGGTTAAAAAATCGTAAAACGTAAAATTATAACGTAAAAAAATAGTAAGAAATCATAACAATGTTTGAAATATTGGTCAAATTATTTTGATGAAAAAATCGTAAAAACGTAAAATCGTAGTGATAAATCGAGATTTTAACAACTATGCTAGCATCTCCTTTCAAGAAAGCGTAAGTAAATAAATATTGAAAATAAAGGTTGAAAATGATAAATAAATAAATAAATAAATAAAGATAGAGTATGTATCAATCTACTTATACGTATGACTATTGTCTATTGCTATAATATTTTATTACAAAGAAAAAAATTAAATTATCACGTAAATGTAATACAAGGCTCTCTCGCTCAAGCTCTCCTCTGTCCTCGCCTTATTTTTGCGCAATCAACGCCGTTAGGTTAAACAAGTTCTACCTTCTCATGCAAGGTTTTATTTTCACGTTTTCACCTGCGATTTGAAGCTTTATTCTGTATGTAAAATCACGTAAAGATGTAATTAATCATACTTTTAATCATAGTTATCAAATTTGTTCAAAGTGAATGGACTGACAAATGTGTAAGCTTGGTAGGAATGGTGAATGAAATGTAGCTTAAGTGTCTTCCTTGAGTACTATTGATGTATTTATACTGGTTGTCGTGAATAGTTATGAAGGAGGATCTTGGGTATGAAGAAGTTCCTCTTAAGGTGGTCGTGGCAGTTATACAGGAGAGAGGTGGCGTAGCCACGTTGTGGTTAGATGGGCCTGGGCCCCTACTGATTTAAAAAAAAAATATTATTATACATAATTTTATAATTTATTATTATTTGACCCTTTATAAAGTAAAATTTGGCCCCCTCTCTCTCTCGACTAATAGTTTAATACATTCTGAGTGGAGTTGGAAACTTCAACAATATCTTCGTATTTGCTTGCTGTTCTCTCAAAGTTAAAAACCCCAACGGTATTTGCTCTTAAATTGGTGCTTTTTATTCTGAAATTTTTCTAGTTTTCCCTTTGATTGATTTTATTTTGTGAAGATATGTTTGTTAGAGTGGAGTGCTTTTGAGTGTTTTGGTCTTTCATGTTTCCTTAAATATTTGAATCGTCTTTATGACTTTATACACTCTCTCTTGATAAATTATGAAATTATGCAGCACCTCGATGGCTTTTTTTAGAGCGACAAAGCCCATTGCATTTTATGTCGTCGCTCTTTAAAACAAAATGTTATTTTCCTTTTTTTTCTTTCTTTCTCACAATAACTATTTTATAACTACTTAGAAAATTGCAAGCAATTACTTAATACTTATACGATACAGCCTGCAGTTGTATAAATTAATTCATGATAGCTTAGTGACTTACAACACATTTATTTTAATATCAAGCAAAAGTAAAAAATGTGAATTCTAAAGATATATGTAACTTGGTATTGGTTTATGATTCTCAAAGACCAGTGTAGGGATCCCTCATATATGAAATAAATAAAATATAACTTTCATCTCAAAAACCATTACTTATTATGTTGTGGGAAAAATGCGATTGTTTTTTTATATGTTTACTTTGATATATAATAGTTGGCTATTATTTATTTGAATTTTCAACATTATGTGACATTATTTAGTAAATAATTTAGATAAATATGCTAGAATTCATGGTAAATTTTTTTCCTAATAGATTTATGTAATTACGATAAATGTTTTGATAATTTAATGTGTCAAATTTTTTGACCCCAGCTAAAATAAAATCTTGGCTCCGCCACTGATGTGAGCTTTGAGGATTCGATGAGGCGAAGCGCCTCGTTCAATTTGCCCAATTTGTAGAGAGCTTTTAGAGTTGAATTGAAAGGTTTTGTTTGGTGTTTGTGGCTCTAGACGTGAAAGTGACAGTTATGTTCATTTTGACAGTTATGTTGGTTGGTAGAGAAATGGCCGGGAACATGATGCAGCGGAAGGAAAGGAATCGTGGTTGTGTTTTTTTTTAAGGTTAGTTGGGTAACTCCAATGAAGGTGTCAACTGTGCAGCGAAACTCTAATTACCGTTTATTTTGGATAGCTTTAAACCTACTCCAATAAAAGAGTGAGATTTTCCACATGGAGTATTATTTATGCAGTTGTGGCACGAATAATAGAGAGCAAATCACATATGTAAGAAAATAAAATCTTCTCTTTTTTCTTAGTTTTTCTCTCGATTTCATAGTGTATCAATTTAAATTCTTCAATCTCTATGCTTCTTCTCCGACTTCGTGCCATTTTTGGTGGTCTTCTCAAGGTTCCATTTTTGTACTTTGCTTCTTCTACCCCAACAAGTCAATCTCTCTGCTCATTCCTTTTATGTTCTCTATTATTTTATTTTTTGAAGAAGTGTAAGGCAGCTGCTACAACAACAGTAATGGTGCCTTGTGCAGAGATGAAAACGTGGAGGAAGAGTATGTGTAAAGAACCTTGGGATACACCACCCCAAAAGCTAGCTCAAGGGGTGGGAGTGCCCAAGGCCTTATAAAGGCCATATTAGTTGCCCATCCAATCAACGTGGGACTATATATCTCAACACGCCCCCTCACGCAAGAGCCCTTTAGGCTAGAAGCGTGGAAATTGCACAGGCCCATTTTTGGTTTACCTTTTTGTGCTTTTTTTATTTTTAATTCCACTTTAAAGTGGGGGACGGTGAGGCTCTGATACCATGTAAAGAACCTTGGGATACACCACCCCAAAAGCTAGCTCAAGGGGTGGGAGTGCCCAAGGCCTTATAAAGGCCATATTAGTTGCCCATCCAATCAATGTGGGACTATATATCTCAACAGTATGAATGACGTTCGACCTGAAAATGGCTCATCTAGATTGATGTAGTTGCAAAAAGGGGTCAGTATATATATAATTTTACATTTTTTATTTTTATTTTTCATTTCATTTTTTTTAATAAAAAATGTAGTAAGATAAGTAACAACATAATCAAATTAAAAGAAAGGAGGACAAAATATGATATTCACACTTACTTATTAGGGAAAAATATTTCTGCAGTTAATGCAGATAAGTTATCTGTATTTATCTCAAAACGACGTCATTTTGATATTCAATATAAAGACTATTATAACCCAGAAATAAATTAAAAAGACAAAAACACCATGATTTTCGTCCCAAAACGACGTCGTTTTGGGACGAACCCTATTTATTAAAGGGAAAAAAGCATCTAATGTTACTTTAGATAACTTTGTCTAATGTTCATTGAAACGACGTCGTTTTGGAGTTGAAAAATTAAAAAATTAGAATGATAAAGACTATTATAACCCTGAAATAAATTAAAATTAAAAAAACATCATGATTTCCGTCCCAAAACGACGTCGTTTCGATGAACTTTAGATAAAGTTATCTAAAGTAACTTTAGAAAAATCAAACCCTTTATTAAATAGGAAATATCCATCTGTTCGCTGGCCATACTTTGTGTTTCGATATCTGTTGAAATGACTACAAGATTTGATCTCATCCGAGATCTGACACCATCTAAAGAGCAATGAAGGATAAGAGTTAGGGTTATCAGACATCCAGAGGTCGCCTAACTTTCATCGACCTGAAATGGGAGACAGTGTAGAGATAATTTTAATAGATGAACATGTGAGTTTTGTTACGTGCTTCAGTCTTGCAGATGGGTTATCTTATTAGCTTAACCCCTTATTTATAGATGGGTTACCTGACAAAAGTGTACTTCTGGGCCTCTTAGGAATATTGAGGGTCTAAGTCCAACTATTTAGTTGTCTGGATATAATCGTCATTAATAGAAGATTCTTTTCCTTTTGTGATGTCCTTTATTAGACCTTCTAGAATATGGTCCTTTGTCAGGTCCATAACAAAACCCTACAATATTATAAATTATAAATTTAAAGGAACAAATGAGTAACCTGTAACAACCCCGTCTCGAGCCGGTTCAATTAACATACATATGATAAAACAGAAAACAGCGGAAGACTTAACTTCTGAAAATACGAGCTAACTTTTTCTTTTTCTTTTTAAATTCTCATTCGTCGTAAACGAAAATCGAGCAGAGTTTCCTCTATAAATCGGACAACTGGGGATTTTCCAATCCCTCACAGAAGCATTTCCTGATAAACAGTTTATACAAATATAATCAAATGCCCATCCATGGGCGCATGCATAACTTGGCTCAGTGCCACTATATCTAACAGCATGCAATCCAACACGTAAACATATCTGAATACTACCTCATCATATAACGTGCCTGAATACCCAAATGTACATGCATCAAAGCGACAG